GGCACCAAGGATGCCAGACCTGGGGCCCCGCGGGAGCCAGCAACCCTGCTTCCCGCCCGCTCGCTCCTGCGTTGCTGCTCTTCCAGAGAACAGGCTGGATGCTAACGCCCCGCGGGGCTTAGGCGGGAAGGGGCCTCTGCCCGCGCCTCCAGGATGGTGCCACCACCCGGGAGCTGGGGGACCGAGCCCAGGGAGCAGGTGTTGGAGGCTGGGGGAACTGGGACGGCGAGCGCGGGAGCCCCTGCGGGAGGGGTAGTTCCGCTTCCCTCCCCAGCGCGGCCTCTGGAAGGGCCCGGCTGCACCCTTGGGGTTTCTAGACGCCCCTATGGTCGCAACCCACCAGCCTCAGGCCCCGGCACCAAGGGCGTCCCGCAGTGGAGGCTCGGGGCTTGCCTTTCCGACCGTCGGGGATCTGGATCCAAGCCCCAGGGCGCACAGCGATCTCAGGGACCCTTCCTTTCAGGTCCTCTGATGCCGAGGTTCCCCGGGCGCGGGGGCCACCCTTTGGGGAGAGCTGACCGCCTCGGGGAGCCCAGGCTGAATTTCTGAGGCCGGAGAGGGGAAAGTTCTATAGGGAGAGGGGAGGTGGACAGGGCACCCCTCTTCCCCCAACCTCCCGCAGGCACAGCGGCCTGGAGTGGGGGTGAGGTCACATGCTCGCAGGAGGTGCCCCCAGATGGACTCCTAGGTCACCACCACCGCCCCCTTCACACTCCCCAACCGCGCCTTCTCCATCCCGCTGCGCCCCAGGCTGAACCCCGGGAACCCCGCCGTGCGTACCCCTCCCACTGCCCCACCCCCGCTCCAGGCGCTGCTCTTGGCCAGGTGGGAGCAACAGTTGGGAGGCCCCCAACCCAGCCTCCACACCACCCCTCCCCGCGGTACCGGGGGACCTGGAGAGGGAAGCGGAGGAGGGGGACCCCCCGCGACCCCAAGACGAAGGTCCTAAGCGTCTCGCCGCATCCTTGCCCGAGCCAAGTCCCCTCGGCCTCTAGCCCTCGCCAGCCGACTCCGGGCCCTAGATCTGGTTCCCGAGGGTCCCGTTCCTCCCAGTGGGTGCTGGCCGCCGGCCCCCCACCCCTACCCCACCCCCCTGTCCCGCGTCTGTC